TGTTGTTGATGTCTTTAGCTTACTTATCCCCATTCTTACCCTGTTCTTTTTTTCCTTCTGCCCCCTCTTCAGGCAGAAGGAGCGCGAGGCCCTCAGTGCCCTGAAGAAGCACCACGAAGAGGAGATTGACCATCACAAGAAGGAGATCGAGCGCCTGCAGCGAGAGATCGACCGCCGCAAGGGCCAGATCAGGAAGCTCAAGCACGACGACTGAGTGGGGCGGATCTGCCAGGCGAGCCCCCCCCACCACCCCACGGGCTCTGTGCCGCCCGTCCTGCAGTTTGCTGATGTTCTGTTATACATGCCATGTCAAGTAAATGCACATATCATTTTCAACAGGGAACCTTTGTCTGTGTTGTTTTTATTGTAAAAAAATCTCACTGTATCTTAGATTTTACTCTGTTAGGGAAAATACTGATAATGCTTTATTTGAATGGGGCTATGTGACAATCATAACTAATTCAACATCATGACACCCTGCATTAAAAACATCAAGCAAAATAAACTTTTGTACAAACACTCCAGGGCCTGAGCTGCATCTGCAGAAAGTCCTCATCATTTCTCACCTCCTCATTTTTTCATCTGAAAGCATGTTTCTTAAACATTATGAATAAGAACGAATAAATGCCTGTGATTCTATTGGTATAAGTGATACTATGGAGTAATGCATGTTGTTACACAAAGGAATTACGAAAGGAGTGATGTTGTTCTGCATCTCTGTTTAAGAAACCTTAACCAAAATACCAATCAGCATCCTACATTTGTCAGTATAGAAGTTTAATTATTTGGGGATGCAATTTAAGTATATTTGCCAGCTGCGTGCCTGTATTGCTTTGTACAGTATATAAACATTCGTATTAAGGTAGTCTCCCTCCAGCTGTCTGAAAATGTTGTGGATTGGACCCGAAACCAGGAACTACACACTTGTGACAGGGGGATTTTCAGCCATGAAGAACCACATCCAGCTAATCTAATACGTCACTATTAAAGCACCACTTTCAGGACACCGATTTATTGTGATCAGGGAAGCCACTGTCACTTCATCTTTTCTGGAACTAATTCAAGCAGGAGTAACTGAGGAAGGAGGAGATGTAGGTCAGAGAGAGCCGTAGAGGAATGAAAACCCACAGAATACGGGCTTCCAAGACCGATACTGGAGAACCCCACTCTACAGAAATCAGAAAGAGCTCTCCTTTTCGACCTTACACATGCAGAGTTTGGGAGAACTGTCAGTGCTATTGATCCAAGTCGATCATCAATTTCATATGACAAACAGGGGGTGTCTCAAAAGAATATGCAGAATGATTTGGACCAGAATTATCATGTAGGAGTTTTACTAAATTACTAGTCAGTCTTGGAATTCTCATTCTGGCACCTGCCTGGACTCCACATGCTGTCTGTTACTGTGATCTGCTGTCTGACTAGCTGTCACTAGCATAGCTAGCAAATTTATCAACTAGGCAATTTTAGTACTCCTTGGAGCAGTGGCTCCTAACTTGGGGCGAACGAAACACCCCAGCTGTCCTTTCTGGGGTGTTAAACATGCTAGATTGTTTTAGAATTGTTCATGTATTCTCAATTTTACTGCAAAATTAAAATATATTATTCCAAAACAGGTTGAAAAGTGTTAATTTTAAAACGTTCTTATAATATAGAAGTAGTATTTCTATGTATGATAAAACTTTTTGATAAAGCAATTTTGATAAGAGGTGTGAGAACACATTTCAGGAGCCAAAGGGGTGCAGACTGTAGTAAAGGTTTTTGGGAGTACCTTACTATATCCAGCTAATTCATTTAAATTCGATAAAAAACTACGAAGCTTTGTAGTACCAAAGTCTTGACAAAACTGTGTTGGCATGTAAAGTTCTTTAGGGATAAATATCTCCACGTTTCGTTAGGAAGTCAGGCAAGACAGTAACACTGATGTAAAAGAACTAGAGTAACGCACAATGCATCCAAAGCTGTGGACTGCCCGTTTCAGGGATTATCATCTCTGATAAACTGTATATTTATACACGCGTTTTTAAAATCTTAGATTTTAAGAGCCTAGACTTTAGATTTAGGGCTGAAGGTGAGACACGGGACACTTAGAATATTACTATTTACCGGGGTTGTAAATAGCGTAAGGGTTAAACATCGAATATGTGACTTGTTATATATGTCAACGTTAAAAAAAAAGAGATCTTAATAAAAAACAAATGACCCCGACGTGATTTGAACACGCAGCCTTCTGATCTGGAGTCAGACGCGCTACCGTTGCGCCACGAGGTCTTAGCGGTTAAGCTTTACCTCTCTCTTTATTTATTATTGTCGTCAGCAGCCACTGCCGGACGTCACGACGTCTTCCGTCACACGTTCGTCGGCCGGCTCACGAACAGCGCTTCCTCTCTGCACGAAGCTCCTCCCTCGCCCCTGATTTTTACTCGCGGCGTCCCCGTTTCTCTCTCTTTTCCCACATCATGGCGGACCGCTTCAATAAGGTGTGTTACGGGGCTGCTGTGCACAGGCAAAAAATGTTGGGTAAAGATGGGTATTCTGGAACCGAGGAAGGGTCAGTGCCTCTGTGGAAGTCTCTCTGTTTCGTGTGTTCAATACCGAGGAGTTTGGTGCAGTGAATCAATTGAATTTTGTGGTTTTGTTTTGCCTTGCGATAGGAGTGTTGGACCGGCATGGAGTACTCCCTGTCTCTAGGGCACGATATCAAGTTTTCAATTTGCGAATTAGGCTGACACGTTGAAGAATGTTCCAAAAATGTCCGTGCTGCTGCTCTGTTTCCTTCTCCCTGTTATGTTGAGTTTCTCTCCAAGCCTGTAATGAGATAATTCCCGTCGCCCTGTTCTGCGTGTCTTGTAGGCCTGAATCCATTCATGCTTGCGTACAGTGTGATGAAGCGGACCCATTTCTGTGTAGTGCGGTATTCTGTACAATTGTAGGCAGCTCTGGTTGATGTAAAAATATTTTCTTTTGTGAAGAACCTCGTTTTAAAACCGGGCTGCATATTTTCATCCGTCGTAAAGCGCGAATGTACTTAACGATTAATTTTTATTAAAGCGCCACACGTTGTTTCCCTCACGTATTACTTTGAAAGTGCTATTAAGCGTTTCTTCCTTTCACGGTTTTTGTTTTGTGATTACCTCATCTTTTGTGATTTGTGTTGAGAAACAAAATAACGTTTTGTAGTGGTCTTGGGTGTCGGTGAAGCATTTTCGTAAGTGAATAATTGATTTTCATGGCAAACGTTGTCCCGCGTGATAAGTTTCTGAAATTTGCAACCAAATCTGGATCCCGTAGAAGTGTGCTCAGCACAACTCTTACCAACGCGTGTTACTTGGCGAGTGCAGTTAATGATGGCCTTTTCAGTTTATATATGATGTTGACCATCTTTATTAATATGAATTAGGACGTTGCGTTCAGTTTAATTTAAAATGTTTGCCCCCAAATTAGTGGCGAAATACTTGTCGACGTAGCAGTTGCTGAGGTGCAGTGCGCTCATTCCCAAAGCCCTGGTGGTCAGCAGTAGCTCGTCGGCTCTAACTCGTCATTTTCTTTTCCTCCAGGTTCTGCTACTCGATGGCAGAGGCCATCTGCTTGGTCGCCTGGCTGCCATTGTGGCCAAACAGGTTCTGCTTGGTAAGAATCTTTCTTTCTGTCGTTTATTTGGGCAGTTTTGTCTGAAGCAGCCCAAGTGATATCCCTTGTTCAAGAAAGAGGACCTGTGCAGTGTCCCATCTGGGACGTGTGCCCACTGCCTTTTTCCCCTCTGATTGCAGGGTTGGTGTCATAATCGGCTTGTACCTGGTTGTAAATAAGCCACCTTTTTCACCATCTTTCACTTCTACCTCTGCTGCAATCTGTAATTGCTAAAAGCAGTTACAGATTGTACTACCAGTTGAAGTAGTTTATTAAAATAAACGTTTTAGAGGTCATTTTAAGAAGTTCAGTTGTCTAAAAAATGGACTGACAAATACCTGACTGTCTATGATGATGCTTATCCTACATTGTTCGAGTTTAACTACCATGAGAAAACTTGACATGCACTACCATCTGAGACGGCAGATGGTTTTTAATGGCAGCGTCCAGCAGTCCTTCGATGTGCCTAACCGCCTGTTACTTTTACAGGCCACAAAGTGGTTGTCGTGAGGTGTGAGGGCATCAATATCTCTGGGAACTTCTACCGGAACAAATGTAAGTGACCTCTTCTGCACTTCAGTTTAAGTCCATGTTTGCGGCATATCTGCGGGGGATCCCTCAGTTTAAAAGGATAGTGGCGACCAAAGCGAACTGGAAATGGCCTTTCTTGTGGGTGACCTAAGATCTTAGAACAGAATTGCTGAGCAAATCATGCATTTTCTGGTCATGGTGTAAAGAATTTACCTATTCATTATTCCTAGCAGGCTTTGCATTTTTTTTGTACTAAACTGAGAACTTAGGTCCGTGGCTAACTGAAGTCAATGTAATAATGCATGTGTGGCTAAGCAGGAGGTAGAAGCTGGTCTTTGTCTTGGGTAGCACAGTAAGTGCACGGTGCTGTCACAGTTTGCTCATGCTCATGTTGAGCTTTTGTCTTGGAACAGTGAAGTACCTTGCCTTCTTGCGCAAAAGGATGAACACCAACCCATCCCGTGGGCCCTACCATTTCAGAGCCCCCAGCAGGATCTTCTGGAGGACAGTGAGAGGTGAGGCGCTCTGAGGGCTGGAGCCTTCGATGTTACGGCAGCTTACAGAAGCCACAGCATGCGTTGACCTAAATGGGTGGCATTGCGACTTGCTCTCGACTGCTGATTCCTGAACTGTGATGAGTCTTATCCCGAACCTGACCTGGTCTGATGACAAAAATATGGATCTGACTGCTGAGTTCAGATATTCTTTAAACCTATATAAACGTTACTTAATAGTGTATATCCATAATAGTTAAACCAGCACTTTTCTTGCAATCAAAGCGATGCTTTTCCATTTTCTGGAAGGCTTTTGTGAAGTCTTTTTCCAGGAACGTAGCCCTGATACTTAAGATAAGTTGCATCTTCTATATAGATGCCCTTTAATAATTTTACTGCATAGGGCCAAACATGGCTTCACCAAATGCTGAGCAAGGGGGTGCTCAATTTAAAAAAAGAGAATTATGGTGACTTTTTAGAAGTAATTATGCCTTTCTTTGTAAACAGGTATGCTTCCACACAAAACAAAACGAGGCCAGGCTGCATTGGAGAGACTGAAGGTCTTCGATGGAATCCCCCCTCCTTATGACAAAGTGAGTGGCTCCTGCACACTTCATGCACCTGATCCTCTGATGTGCGCTGTCGATGATGCTTCTATTCTACCTACATTGTTTGAATATTCTTAAATGAGAACATGAAACACATCTGAGACACACTGACTCTTGTCCTTTAAAAGGCTTTGGTTCTATTCGGTGAAACTTGACACCCCTCCTCTCTCCCTCCCCAATGTGTCCCGCAGAGGAAGCGTATGGTGGTGCCAGCTGCTCTGAAGATTGTGCGCCTGAAGCCAAGTCGCAAGGTGACTGTTGTAAAACAAACATTTGGTTTTGGCCTTTATAAAATGGCAAACGTCTGAAACGTGTGGTTTTACAGGAGCTCTTCTGAAAATATTGATACCCTTTTCAAAATAGTTCATATAGTTTCTGAGGCAGGAGCGTTTGAAGTGCTGTGTGTCAGTGATGTTTTTCCACAGTTAAGTATTCGAGTTTCACGACCATGAGAATACTTGACATGCACTACCATCTGAGACCAGACAGCACAGGATTCTAGTAGACCTGTAGTATTTAATGTAAAGGGTGATGGATAATCTGATAAAAAAATTAGCTTCTCGATGTACTTACAAGTACACTGGGTGGAAAGCAGACACATGCATGATTGTGTCCCTATATACTTGTAGTGGTTAGGACTGGAAAACTTACTTGGGTTTGTTGTTCTGATCATTTGACTGGAAATGTGAAAAATATACACATTCGCTGTATTTGTTACCCAAAAAATGAAAGACTGGGGTGGGGGGAGCTCAGGTTGGAGGTCCCATCGAATGAGGTCTCATTGCTCCGTCTTGGTCCTCCCCTCCAGTTTGCCCTGCTTGGCCGCCTGGCCCATGAGGTTGGCTGGAAGTACCAGGCCATCACAGCCACCCTTGAGGAGAAACGGAAGGAGAAGTCCAAGATCCGCTACAACAAGAAGAAAACTGAGCTGAAGCTGAAGAAGCAGGCGGAGAAGAACGTCGAGAGCAAAATCGCCAAATACACTGAAGTCCTGAAACAATATGGAGTTCTTGTATAAACTGGCCGTCTTCACTCGGAAAATAAATGTTTATATAAAGTATCCGCTGCTCTCATGGGTTATTTTGTTTGGATGTTGTGGGCAGTGTCTGGGTTTGATTGTGAAGTGTGTGGTGCCCCTGTGTTAATAAATTATTTTCTCTGGTGTTTGCAGGAATCTCAATACAGCAGTTATTTAAAGTGCCATTTACAAATGAGTTCTATTTACAAGCCATGCAGATTACTTGGCTTAAGAGCAGATACCTAAGCCGTGTTAATTTCATATCCCTAAATTCCTTTTTTTCTGAACCAAAAATACCATGTGATCTTACAAGGCATTTGTCATGCAGTTCCATCGAATTACCCTTTTTTGGTTTTTCGAAGGCTATTGTGGGGGTGACTTTTGAGATGCGAAATAGGGATTTTTTTTTCCTTATGTCCTTAATCATGAAGTCGTGCCTTACGAGCTGCATCACAATGTAGCCCTTTCACCCCAGGTACTAGCGATAGAGGAATTTAAGAAGCTCAAAAGGATTACTAATATTACAGAACCTGTGCTGGTACAACGACATGAAAAGAAAGGATATAAGCACTTGCACCCTGTCTTTTCTTAACGTAGTTCGGGTTAAACGATTCCCTATTACAGCCTGCTCAGATTTCGAAGCAAGCAACTCAAAAATAACATCATCGGCCGAAACAGACTTAATATCGAGAGCAAGAGAGAACTACCGCGTAAAATGCCTACAGCTGTACAAGTTCAAGGCAGTGCGTCGTCTTATTTTGTGTTTCTGAAAATGACTCGGGTCTACATCACCATGCCGTGATAGCCCCGGTTGTGCTGCATGTACCCTGTGCCTAGGCACTGCTCCTGTAATTTTCCATTGTCACTGGAGGTGTCGGGATCGGATTCTTTCTGTAGACTCGTACTCTGCTGCAAAGCGCCCGCAGCTGCTTCTCTTTCCAGCTAGCAGGGCTGCAGCCTGCCGCTCCTTTCCCTCTCATTGGTCCGCCGCTCACGCCAGTCTCCCCGCTTCGCTTCTCTGATTGGCGCTTTCTTCCCCTTCGCGGCGGCCCTGGAGAGTGCGCTGGGAGACCCCGTGGCAAAGTGGCGTGCGCGCTCCCCTAGACAGGGTCGGGTTGACCGCGAGGAAGTGCCGTGGACGAGCATTGGTCTGTCTTAAGTCTTCTCCCGTGGGCAGATTTATAAACCCTTCCTCGAACACAGGCAGATTTAAAATACAACAGCGTCTCAGTATTTTTTTTAAAGACACGTTTTTTTTTTAAAAAAGGCCGCAGACAGTTGCGGGTAGCTGCAGTGACGGAATTCTTGCTTTAAAGGAGCGGTAAGTTTCAGCCGGTCGGATGTGTTTTTCTCGGGCTGGAGGGGGATGGTCTCTGCTTTGGAAGGGTTTTATTTAGGCCTGTGAGGTGGGCTCGTTTTTTTAAAGCGTCTCTGAGAGTAAAATAAACCCAGACTTAAATCCAGGGTAGGCGCAGAAGGATCTCTAGGCATCATTTCGTATGCAACAGAAGTATACGTAATCACAATAAGGGGTTTCGGAGCTTTGCGTTCTTGTAGGCCTGTCTGAAATTTGTGCACCAAAGGGGGCGGAACGGATTTTTTGTCTTCGGCCGTGTGTGCAGTCCCAACTGCTGGTATTAATTTACACAGAAACCATTGTTTAAACCCGCAGGTCCCCATCGGGAAAATTCCTACAAAACATCAACCGGACGCAGGCTTGCTGATTGCAAAATTATTGCGTTTGGCCGATTTTCTTTGGTATTTTGCCGTATCTTGGGTCTCGGAACTGCGTTCGGGTTGGCGTTTTTTTTTTTGCAGCACCAAAAGAGAAAAGCTCCGGTAAACAAGAACTTGATCCAGCTAATGCTAATTGCAAATTGCTATACGCTGTAATTTTCAAATTCGTGTAATATATTACCTAAAATGCCTTCCATATTCCACATTAGCCTAGGGATTTTTTTTCGGCGGCGGCTTGGGTTAGATCAGTACGATTTTCCATTGGCAGTTTTGCCCGCTCCCAGCGGATTAGGCAGAAATGCCTTTTTTTCCCGTCAAGAAAAGACGAGATTTGCTGGAGTCCCTCCATTTTTTTTTAAAACGTTTGTCTCGGCAGTGAGATCCATTTAGCCACCCCGCTTGTGTTTCGTGTAGCTCCGCTGTCGCTGACTTTTTAAATACATTTTTGTCGGCCCAGTTGCCCAGTTTTGCCGTGTGCGGTTGATCCGTCACGCCATCGCCAGCATCGCTTGGATTTGTAGAGAGCATGGTGTGGAGAACCGGCACCCAAAGCTGATTAAGATCAATTTCTTTAGTCCGTAAACAGGGATTCTTTTCTTGAACGTTGTGTGCAATATGTTAAGCATGAACCAATACAAGGAGAATAAGATGCGTTCTGAGTGTTTATCTTAATGTTACCCCACAAGTACCCCTGAGAAATTATTTGGATCAGTGACCCTTAATTCTATATAAATAGTTTATGCTACAGTTCTTGTCGGATTTTATGTTTTAATTTGACAAAACTGTTATTTAGAGTCGGTGGTGAAAGATTTTCAGGAATAAAATAGTGTTGTAATGGCAAAGTTGTATATAACTCCGGTTAACATTCATATTTCTCCACATTACAGCATTAATAGACTTGCATAATGTTCGCAGAGTACTATAAAGAATTTAACAGTTTTGACATTTGTAATTCTTTATGAAGTGCAAGCACGCTTTTCTATGTTTGTCTAGAGAGCATTTGGACACGGTGTGTTTGAGCCAATTTATTACCTCTTTTGAGGTTTTGAGGCCTTTCTGCATCTGTTTCTCATTTTTACCTTTTAGAATATTGATCTGGTCATTGCATGTAGTGTTACAGTACATCTACTAGAGAATGTCTCTGGAAATGTCGGATGACGGTTTCAGATGTTATTGATGTGCATGAGAGTTTAAAATTGCTCATGGGGTTGATTTTCTTCTTCAGTTACAGTAGGAGAAATGGCTGCTGAGGTGAACGGTAACTCTGCCCAGGTTAAGGAGGAGGACGAGCCAATGGACACCTCAAATGTAACCCACACAGAAAACTACCAGACTCTCATAGATGCTGGATTACCACAGAAAGTAGCAGAAAGGTTGGACAATATCTTTCAAACAGGTATGTGCTGGTTCCCATTTATTCCTCATCTGCTGTGTGCTTAGTTTTTCGTTCTTAATTTTGTTTAAAGAAAAACAAAATGGCAAAAAAATTCACCTTTGCCCTCTTACCTCCATCTTTCTCAAGGGTGGTTATGTGGGGCAGGATGTTGTAGCTCCTTTGACATCTTAGAAAGTAATAAGTTAATCGATCAAGCGGAAGGATTCAGTGACACTGGTAGTGTGTTGAGAAGGGACACCGTGTGAAGGAAAGTTTGTGGTCCCAGGAAGAATGTCTGGTATTAGCAGTTGGTGAGAGTGCCATGACTTAAACACCGCAAATTACAGGTTTGGTGGCATACGCAGATCTGGACGAGAGGGCCATTGATGCCTTACGAGAATTCAATGAAGAAGGTGCTCTCTCCGTTCTGCAGCAGTTTAAAGAAAGTGACTTGTCTCATGTACAGGTGAGTGCATGTCCTATAGCTCCCCTATTTTTGAATTAACTGTGATTATATTCATCAAAGCGATCATGTTTTTTTTCTTTTCTCGAGAGAGAGAGTGATTTTGCTTTTTAAAATAGTTATATTAATTATTAGCAAGCATTTGGACCCTCCCCTCCCCTCCTATCCCATCCCTACCTTCCATTGCCTTAGTGCTCTTTATTTGCTTAAATTAATTTTTCTGCCTTCTGTTGCAGAACAAAAGTGCATTTTTATGTGGAGTAATGAAAACCTACAGACAGCGAGAGAAGCAAGGAAGCAAGGTACAAGAGTCTACAAAGGGGCCAGATGAATCTAAGATTAAGGTAGAGTATTTGTAAAAACATACAGAATGGTTCAGTTTATTATTTTAATATGTTAGAACATTCAGTAGAATTTGGTTTCAGATTTGCCAGTTAGTGTGAATTGTCTTTAGGAAGCTTGCTATGGTGTTCAGACCATGAAGCCCATTGCTGGAGAGTGACGTTCGGCTGCTCTGAAGGCCTTTCATAAGTGTTTTTAGAACTGTTGATTATAGATGGAGTTTTTAAATACTATTGTATGAGTTGTGTGTTAACAAACTTAAATTGCAATTACAATATATTTATATGGATTCTGCGAATTTGTCAGAAAGATACAAATCACTTTTCAAAAACAATTCAAAGATCTAACCTATTTATGACTAAAAACAGGTTTTGTATTGTGGAAAATTATTAAACCCATTGAACACTGATCAGCAGAGGACAATAGATCAATTGTTTTTTGCAGCATTGAGGTTTATAACTGAGTGAGGTGTGTAAAATTTGATGTCCTCAACTGATGTACCTTTTGTTAGTTATTGCAATAATCTTTTGTGTGGAATTATTTTACTGTCCGCTGGAAGTGGTGAACTACATATAATGTTTTTTTATGCCCGCTAAAAGCACAACCTTTTGAATATAAACAATTCTGTATTTCCTTTACTTTGCAGGCTCTGCTGGAGAGGACAGGGTATACTTTGGATGTGACCACAGGGCAGAGGAAGTATGGGGGCCCTCCACCTGAATCGGTTTATTCGGGACCACAGCCAGGAGTGGGAACAGAGGCTAGTACTGCCTTTTTATTCTGTTTGGCAGAACATCTTAAACAAAGGATGGTCAGGGTTCACCAAAATTAAGAAATTGGATCTTCAGTCTTTCAATTCTTTTTTTTCCCCAGGTTTTCTTTCCTTCGGTCTGGGAGACCTATAAGAAATATGCACGAATGTGCTCCAAATTTAGCTGTAATTTAGAATTTGAAATGACCCTGAGATTATCCTTTATAATCTAAATTGATCTAAAACCATTTTCATAATTTTAAATATGCCTTTAATAATCTGTCACTACATTAATTTCAACTGAGTCCTTAATAGTGGATTTAAAATTGTTCCTTGCGCTGTAGAATTGATTTATTTTTCAAATTGTGTGCAGGTGTTTGTGGGAAAGATCCCAAGAGATTTGTATGAGGACGAGTTGGTACCTCTTTTTGAGAAAGCTGGCCCAATCTGGGATCTGCGGTTGATGATGGACCCCTTATCCGGTCAGAACCGAGGATATGCTTTCATCACTTTCTGCAACAAGGAAGCTGCACAAGAGGCTGTCAAACTCGTAAGAACTTTTTCATTAAAGTCAAGGCTGGCTTTTCTTAAGTAAAAATTGTTTAAGGTCCTTGTTATAATGTCTCTGGTTTTGTTTTGAGGTGATTAACAAAATGTTTGAAATACTGTTGTCGATATTGCACTGTTAAGCACTTAACCTTGGGAAATTCTCTTTTCTTGAACCTTTTGTTTTTAGTGTGATAACTATGAAATCCGGTCTGGTAAATACCTTGGTGTCTGCATCTCTGTTGCAAACAATCGACTGTTTGTTGGATCAATTCCAAAGAACAAGACCAGGGAAAGTATCTTGGAAGATTTCAGCAAAGTCACAGGTTAGAGGAAAAATAGTCATTTTCTTATATTTCACTGTCGTATACAAAGTCATTTACTTTTTTCACATTGGATAATGTAATTCTAGTTGAGAACTGGAGTAATGGAGTTCTGTATATGTTAAATGTTTTGTATCGCTGCTTCTAAGAATCATTTTATCTCAGCAGGTAAACAGTTGGGTGATAATAGTATAGTATCTTGTTTAAAAGTAGTAGGTAGCTTTTGTTTTCAATTGTGAAACGGCACTTATTGAAGTTAGTGACCTGATGTCTCCTTACAGGTAGGCTGCAGACATTGATTTTTCATTTAGTAACAATGTGTAATTAAATGTTAATACTAGGCACTCTTATAGATCATACCACAGATGGTTCTTGAGCTTGAATGTTGTTGTACTTTGTTGCAAGTACATGTGTTAAGTTTTGACATTCTCCCTCCTGCATCTTCCAGAGGGCCTTATGGAAGTGATTTTGTACCATCAGCCTGATGATAAAAAGAAAAACAGGGGTTTCTGTTTTCTGGAGTATGAGGACCACAAATCTGCAGCCCAAGCCAGGCGCAGGCTGATGAGTGGCAAAGTCAAAGTGTGGGGGAACCCAGTCACTGTGGAGTGGGCTGATCCTGTAGAGGAGCCTGACCCAGAGGTGATGGCAAAGGTATGATAATAGAATGTTAACAGTGAGTTGTCTTTTAATTCTTGATGTCTTACAACAACTTTATAATTTGTTCTAATTACTGTAAATGGGGTATATTGTAAAGAAGAAAGCAAGTATTATTCAACAAGGTGTTGTGAAGTGAAATAGAACCATGGCACATAAATTGATTGCTACATGTTAAAAAAAACCTCAGTAGGTTTCTGTTCTATATATTAAACATGGAAAATTGTTGTTTACATTAAAAATTGGAAAGCTCCAATTTATCTTTTTCTGATGTGCTTGTGTATATATATATACAAACAACTGTGTCCCAGCTGTGATCTAATATCTGCTAGATGATGTCTAACTTTTTTTTCATTTCACTTTAACAGGTTAAGGTGCTGTTTGTGAGAAACCTTGCTACTCCTGTGACTGAGGAGCTTTTGGAGAAAACATTCTCTCAGTTTGGGAAATTGGAGCGAGTGAAGAAGCTTAAAGATTATGCTTTCGTTCACTTTGAGGATCGGGATGCAGCAGTCAAGGTAAGTGTAGGGGCCTATTGGCCCTGGTCTTGGATGATGCTACTGACGGTTTGTATTTCCGATATGGACATTTTTGAACTTCTCAAGTCTTCCAGTGATATTGATTAAATATCCGCACCGTGAAGTGATTTTTCTTAGTCATTATAAAGATACATTTTATTTCCATTCTAGGCAATGCAAGAGATGAACGGAAAGGAGCTTGAGGGAGAAGAGATTGAAATAGTTCTTGCAAAACCCCCCGATAAGAAACGCAAAGAACGTCAAGCTGCCAGGCAGACTACTAGAAATACAGGGTAAGGGTTTTAGTCTAGTGTATGCAGTTGACAATGCAGTTTGTTTCTAAAGGCAGTTTGCATGTACTTTCTGTGTTCACATTGGACTTTCCCCATGCAGTTTTCCTCTTGCCTTCCACAGATATGATGGCTAGAATAAGGGGCTTAATTGAGCATCCTATACTACTTGACTTAAACTGAACCTTTCTAGTCACGACCAGAAAACACTATGAAGGAGAGTCAGGCCAGTGGACCTGTACAGAATAAAGTGAAACGTGAACCAAAGGATACAAATTAAAGCTTTGTGCATTAAAAACTGAGAACAGGAGGCATTTGTTAGGGGTTGTGGGAATATGCAACATACTGCCTTGCTGTCTTGTTAAAATTGGTTCCCTGGCTTCTTTCAAGTAATGGCTGGATGAGATCCTTGGATCAATTAGCAACTACATGCTAAACAAAGTACATTGGGCGGGTGACCTCTTAAGTGGGATTTTTAAATTGTTCCTCTGTGCTTAATTGTTTGCCCCTTTGATGGATGGGTTTTTTAGCCTGGATATGTTCCAGGAAAGCATTCTGAAGATAGTTTTATGATTCAAAGATCATTTGCTAATCAGTTCAAAGGCTGGTGTTCATTTTGTACTGATAAGCTTTTTTTCTAACTTCAGAAGCTGTCGGGTCTCATGTAACCTGTACCCTCTTGATTTTTCTAGGTATGACGATTATTACTATTACCCTCCACCACGAATGCCTCCACCTGTCAGAGGCAGGGGACGAGGAGGCAGAGGTGGATATGTGTATCCTCCAGATTACTATGGCTATGAGGAGTACTATGATGATTACTATGGCTATGACTACCATGACTATCGAGGTGGCTATGAAGATCCTTACTATGGTTACGATGATGGCTATGCTATGAGAGGAAGAGGCAGCCGTGTCAGCAGAGGTGCTCCTCCTCCACCAAGGGGCAGAGGAGCCCCACCACCCAGAGGAAGAGTTGGCTACACCCAGCGGGGTGCACCTTTGGGAGCACCTAGGGGGGCTCGAGGTGGCAGAGGAGGTCCGTCCCAACAGCAGAGGGGCCGAGGTGCTCGGGGATCCAGAGGAAACCGTGGAGGCAATGTGGGTGGAAAGAGGAAGGCAGACGGGTACAACCAGCCTGATTCCAAGCGTCGCCAGACCAACAACCAGCAGAATTGGGGCTCCCAACCCATCGCCCAGCAACCTCTGCAGCAGGGTGGCGACTATTCCGGTAACTATGGTTACAATAATGACAACCAGGAGTTTTATCAGGATTCTTATGGGCAACAGTGGAAGTAGACAAAGAGAGGGTATTGGGGAAAAATGGAGATTGGCAGCAGCTTTGATTGGCTTTTAAATCTTCATCCTTCACACACAAATAGTATGAACACACAAATTGGCTTAACCTCATCTACGTTCAAGTATCGATTGGCTGCAGTATGTATTCGGCTGAAGATAAGTGTATATATACACCTTTCCTGATTTTTCTTATCCTTTTGCTTTCCTTGTGGTTATTTGGGACATTTCTGGCTTTAAACACATGAAATGCTTTTATTCTTTTTTTTATTTTGTTTGTACTTTTTTTTTTAAGCCTACATTTAACATTTTAACCGTGGACGCTCATTCAAAAGTTTGAGGAGACATTTAATCATGAGTATCCTGCAGGAAGCAAATGTTTTTTTCTGGACATTTTCCCTTCAGATTTGTGATAGACTGCCATAGGAATCTGCTTGTATATAAAAGCTTAAAGCTAGAGCTTTATTTTCAATTGTTTTGCGGAAATGGGGGGAAAAAAATCCATAGAAAAGAAAGAAAAATTGCAATTTTTCTTGTGTTGGGAAGTAACGTTCAATTGTATGTTTAGCATTTGTAGCAATAGGTTAAATTGTGTTTTTTAAACTGTTATAACTTCAAACGTTTTTCAAATTTGCCCTAGAAAATTTGGTTTGGCTAAACCATAAGAGCCGTGGCAATCTGTTCTTTGATGTGTTTGTATTTATAACTTGTTCTTGTTACATTTCAATAAAACTCAAACGTACATCATTCAATTATCAACTATTTCAAACTCAGTTGTGTCATGAAATATTTAATTCAGTGGTTACATCTCAAAGGACCATGTCTGAGTGGGAAAAACTACATATGTGAGTGATCAAATTGTTTAAAAAAAATACTTTTTTGTAACTGCTGATATTGTGCTCCTAAATCAAAGTATTCAGTGGTCATCTCAAAATTCACTTGTATCCAGGAATGATCGTTGCTTTTGTGTGTTGCGCACACAGCTACTCTTCTAAAACATTGTCAAAAGTATAAACAAAGTTGGAAAGACCGGCCCATAAATTCAATTGGTTTATTCAAACAGTATTTCAGTCTTAAATTTTGTTTAAACAGGTGGATTTTAACCCTTTGCTTTCCAGCATTTATCTTGGTTATATTTTGTATTTTTGTGTGGATGCGAAGGCAGAGATGTCTAGTACTCTCCAGAATGGATTAAGAACATGGGTTAAGTATTTTGAAGTGGTCTTTCCTGCCAAGCACAAACCCCACAAATATCACAGTGAGAATCAACTGGAGGCTTGGAATCAACTCCTTCACTTTGAAGAAAGTATTTCGACATCATTACCAGTTTGACCCTGAAGAGAAGGAAGTGAAATCATTTGGTCTTAAGAGCATTACTGAGATCCTAAAGTAAATCCAAAATTTCTTCGTAGAAAGTGAGACTGTACCAGTTTACATTAAGTGTACACAATGTGGGCTCTGTTCTCAAAACGTAGCTCGCATGGAAATGGAATCTAATTATAGAGGTGAGCTTCCAGTGGTGGTGTACATTACTAACGTGTTTCTTTCTTTGGAAACCCTTGAGCTCTCCTGCATAATCTAATGTACTGCAATGCAAACTGAGAATAGAACCTGTTTTGAAGTGGACCACGCATCACTTTATTGTGGAGAATCCCCCCCCTTCTGGTAAACCAAAGGGTTAAAATTATGAGGGATGAAGCATGATTTTGCTAAGAGTATTTTTTTTCCTAGTAGAGTTCTGATTTTTAAACTTTTTTTGTTTTTTTTAAGTTTCTCCTTTTATTCCAAATTACCCAGGTGAAGAAGCGGCAGCTCCAGCGATAGAGTGAGGAACACATCACAGCTGTGTTCTTCATGAAGGGTGAGCTTGGTTTCAACTCTTCACGACTAACTGAAGTTCTCTCTTCCTCTGGGGTTTAGCTTCACATTCTTGATGTTTTGCTCAGTAGGAGGATTGCTAAGTATGCTGTGACCTTTATCCCAATACGTTATCAGTCCTGAATGTAGTGTGTGATTTATCAAATGTAGCAGCAGAACTGCTGGAAGATTTCTGGTTTTGAACTATTGGGCTGCAGGTCATTTCCATCATTTTTAATTTTGGAAATTCAGTTTTGGGATTTTTAGTCAAGAATTGGTTTAAAAAAACGCAATGTAACTTACTGGTCAAAACATTGAGAACTGTCTACTCCTCAGATGAAGGCTTCAGTTATGAAGCTTCCCCAAACCAGTTTGCAAAACAAGATAAGTTACACTTGAAATGCAGCTTATCCACCAAAGTCAATCATATCTTAAATCTGGCTTGAGTTGCTGATGGGTGTCTTATTGGGGAAAGAAAAGACTGAAGTAAATAGCAGTTTAGTGCAGCTTTATGCCAGGGTGAATCAAACTTCAGAATGTTAAGGTTGGCCTTAAGCACAACCCAACATGCTGGGGTTTGCTCAGTATTTTCTTCACTTGTTTTTTTTTTCCCATTGGATGTTTTAATCCCCCCCCCCCCTCCCAAAAACATTAAAACATTCACCATGTCCTGCAGTCAGGACCTTCACGTTTGAAGCTTGGAGGAGACTGCCTCCAAGGTTGGCGGACAGTTACATTTTCATGTGTTCCAGTTCGATGGGAAGCATTCCTTTCTATTGTCTTTACTGTTAAAAGGATTTTCCCAGCCTGAGAAGAATGATTCTACCATATTGAGCCTCTTGGCTCTTCTTTATGTTTGGAAAACCAGAAGACAAACATTCTACAAAATTGATGATCCAATTGGCACCCAGCGTCTGCATTAAACACTTGGAAGGACTACCCATTTTTCATCTAATGGCAATCAATTGGCTACCAGTTTCTGTGAACTGGTTGTATTCACCATTATGGAATTTAGATGATCAGTTATGTGCTTTGTTTTACTTGTGTTCGTTAATGTCTTTTCTAGATGAACAAAGATCTGTTGGCTTTCATTTTTAACAATTCTTGTGAGAGATATTAGCATCAGTTTTTTTTACACAGGAGTCTACATGATATTGTGCATTATTAATAGGATTATAGGATGGAGGTAAAAGTATCTTGCATCATGTGGAAATTAAAATATGGACTTTTTACATGTTTTAAATGTGCTATTAATTAAGAACTTGAGTAATATTTTTGGGGGGTGGGGGAGAATGCCAGTGCTGAAAGATTAGATGATTGCATTCTGGAAGTCACAGCTATTGTGAAATTAGTTCACTTATATTATGTAGAAGATTAGTATCTCAAGTGGAATTCACACCATTTGTCGTTATAAATTAAAGAATGGAGTCCATTGTCAGAAATCATTAATTCAGTTGCCATAATAATCAAATTGCACACATCCAAGAATGGTAATACTTATGTAAATGTTTACCTGAAATTACAGTAAATTAGTGCTTCCAAATTAGTGCTGTTTGGGGTCTGTGAAACCACTGCGTAGATTTTTGAACGCAGTTGATTTAGTATCTTATGCCCATGCTTAATCTACTACCAAATTAAACTTTTAAAGACATCATATTAATTATTGGAGAAACAGAATTTACTTCTCTAGATTAGTTTCCTTCTTGGGCAACCTTTTTTTTTAGGTAGTAGTGATGTTTTCACGACTCAGCAGTGCCACAGTAAAATTCTAACCTGAATGTTTCACACAATCTGTCCCTCAATGAAAAATGTATACATAGCTTCATTTGTAATTACCGATGTTATATGAAAATATATTTTGTCATTTGCTCACATTTATATGAAACTTGCCAATAAGGAGAAATGCTTTTTTAAACTACTGCTACTGATAGAACCTTGAATAATTTGCTAGAATCCATAGATCTTAAAGTTTAAAGCCTTAAAGTGCAGTTTTGATTTGAAGATCTTGACAGTATGCAGGAGATTCAAAACATGGAAATTTCAGACGGTATGCACTGGTTTGTCAGTACTGTTGCTCAGATTGCTGGACCCAGTAGTGCCTCTTTTAAAACCTAACCTATTAAGAGAACTTGAACATAATCTTCTGGAATGGAATGGTTTCATTTGCACCTACTTCTAAGATCCTGTCAATTCTGACAGTAGTTTCCAAAACTAGTATCTTAAGCTCCAGAATTGCTAGGGCTTGAACATGTGAATTGTAGCTGTTAATTTATTCATTAACGGTAAGTATGATTTTTATACCTAATAATAGAAATTCTTTAAATACACTATGTGGAAATTCTTGTATATACACATTGCAAGACAGTTATAACACTCTTGAGCATAGTGACCTTTAATGGTTAAATCCAGGATGTCTCATTTTGTGTCGGGGTCTATACAACACATAGTTTAGCTTTAGAGATTACTTTGTTTTGCTAGTCAATGTTTAATCATGTATAGAAAATTCAAGTCTAATTTTTGAAGGTGTTGACTGACAATTATTTCACTGCTTTTTTTAAGATTTGCACATTTTATCGACTACTTTGACTTTGGAGGAAAAACTTTAAAGTGCTGAAAAGCGTTTTTATGAAGAATCCTGTTTTATTTTACAATGCAGAGCCCTTACACATTTTTGCAAAGGTCCTTTCAAACCTAACCAGTAACAAAATATGACATGAAAGCATCGCAATAGTGTGTTTGAGCCCCTTGTTTTGATTTGTTTCCATTTGACACAATTTTAGTGTGCATTTGAAACCAGTTTTCAGTTATCGATGTTTCATGACTTCCTTTCATGTGGGTTGTGGTAGTAAGCACAATCTCAAAGGAATTGTGGGTATGTACTGGCGATATTGTTCAAGTTCATTGATTAAAATCTGACAGCTCAGATTTTGTAGATGTATAGATTTAGAAATTTAAGTCAAATTTAATAGCACATTTGTAATAGTCATACTAATTTAAGTATACTTTCAATGTCCAAATAGAGTACTGTGAGAACGTCAAGAATGCATGAGTGCAGTTCCAGGGACATCACTGAGGAACAAAGCTAGGTATTGGGAGTATGCACCTGTATTTCTTTCATTGAGTTACCTTGACACCAAATTTCTGAATTTACTGAAGTCACGCAGTGACATACACCCATGTTTTGAAACAGGGCTATGAGTTCATTTTCCCTTTATTTTAACATTTGTTAACAAAGCACAAAAAACTCAGAAGGGGCTGTTGATTTTGCGACTAACTGTTTTAGTAATAAAAAGCTCCTTTTACATTTCAAACTTATTGCCTTGTTTTAATGATTTTTCAATAAAACAGTCTGTGCACATTGGGTCTTTGGCTTTTTTGAGTATGCATTGGGGATGAATATCAAAGAAGCTTTTATCCATTAACGGACTTATTTTGAAAACTTTTACTTGGAACAATCCACATGCCAGCCTTTTTGCTCAAGTGGAGAATCCTGCCAGAAATTTTGGAATTATTTGATCACTCATGTACTGCAGTTCTTGCTGTTGCTCTTTGAATGATTAGCTATTCATTTTCCACATTCTGATGAATAAAAATTTAATGAAAACCTCTTGCAAAATTGCACCCTACGGCATTCTCCAGCATTATAACTATTTCATGATAGCGCCTCTGACTTTCAGTTATTGTACAGGCATATACAAGGAAACGTTCACAATTTAATATTAAAATTTAAGAAAACATTTACATATTTGAATTATGTAGATCAGGCTTGAAAAGTCTTAAGTATGCTTTACATGTCAAAGAACGTCTTAAAGGTATTTCATCTGCTGGTTTTATGGGATACACGGATATGATGAGCAGCTTTTATCATTAACAATTTTAAAACTGAATTTACACTGAACATTCCTAAGTTGAAGTGCTAAGGGGGTATGTTCAAGAATTTTCTACAATTCCGATCACAATCTAAAAAAATGTACACCCAAACTAAATCAAGCATTTTGAATTCTTCACAGTTCCTGGCTAGCAATTGTAGTCATGGATATATTTTTGTAGTTTGCAGTGATTAAGGTTACACAGAAATTCTAAAACAAACATTTTTTGGTGTTTTGGTGAAATTGAATAGTAGGCGATCATAATATTCATTCCTTCTCTTTGAATGGAAAAGAAAAGATGGTGTTTTCACAGTCTTTAAAAAAAATGGAGCATATTTTTCAATGTAGTGCATACATGTTGAATGTTGAATCAAGAAATTGTAATATGGCTCTTAATATGAAATGAATCACCTTAAAAAAAGCCAATCACCTTATTTAAAATTCATTTGGAATGAACAAGGCCAAAAAATGTTGAGACCATGACATTCGTACCTTCTGTTTCCAATACTTTACGTGGCAGGTAATGGAAGATGGAAATTGGAGTACAAGCCTGATTAGAGTTTCCATATGTATGTATATTTTTTTTTGGAACGTGTTGAATTGAACTGGTTGTGAACTGTACATTTTACAGCAGATTTCAAAGTGAAAGTTAAACTTTAAAGACCTCAAATCCTGATTAATGTTGTTTGATTCTCAAGTCTTTAATTTGTATAATAAATAATTCATTTAATTTGCCTAGTTAATAATTTATTCAAATTTGAGGAGAACCAAATTCGCCTGGAGAGTAAATTGTTGTTCATGATTGGCATGGAAAGACGCCGCCAAACCAAGTCTCAAAGTCGGCATAATATGGAAAGATGCAGATTACTACTCATGGCGTTTCCAGCTCTTGGTTTAATAACCAACCAATAAGAAAATCTTTTTTCAGATGACTTCCAAGAGTTATGTAAGTATTTACTTTTTGTATTTTAACTCCTTCCTTTTGTCACCTGACTATCTATCAGGGAAGCGAGCTTGAGGCTGCCCTGACCTGACATGTCATGCTGTCGACTTGCTAGGTGGGGGTCTGAGATGAAGATAGCATTTGGACTCCAGGGTAAGAATGTATTTCAAATGTCATTTTTTTCCTGATCTAGGTTTAATAGAAAAATAAAGAAAATTCCATCTGATACATTGAAGATTCTCGAATTAGCCTTGGCATCTAGAAAAGCAAAAAAAATGGCTTTTACAATATAATCAGATAATGTGATATTCCTATTGCGTTTTTTGCTTGTGCTCTATTAATATCTACACGCAAGCACCTGTTTTCACACCTAGTTCTAGATTGATGGAGCTGAGGCCATACTAATGCTGAATGTTACAGCTATTCTGTATATCTGTTAATGTTGAGGAAAATATAACCAGACATGAACTAGAAAAAACTTTTCTAGAACGGGTCTCAAACTTAGTTCCTCAAGTGTCTCCTGACTTTTTGTTCCACCCACATTCCGAGTTACATATTTGAGCTAACTTAATTCACTGCATAATTGAAGTACTTTTAACTGCCCTGTGGTAACTTAAACTGTAACTGGAATGTAGTTAGTCGTGCAAATTAACTTTAAAAGAGCATTAACCAAGAATATTTTCACCCTCTAGATGGGTGTAGATTTAGCCCAACACGATAATCTGGTTTCGAACCTTCAACTTGCCTGATGAGATAATCAAGAACTGTGAAATTGATCACTATTCCATGCAGTAGCTATATTACTCCCCATATTAAAGAGATCCCACAAAATAAAAATGAGACAAATCCACCCCCACAATTTATCATGGGAAATCCAGTATCAAGTGATTGCCAAATTTAGAGGCATGTTATTTTGCTCACTTAGTTAGCTATCCAACCCCTGTGTGTGAAGATGGGTGAAGTGGAGAGAGACTGCCATTGGTTAATACCGTTCTCTTGACTGCACCTGATGCATTCTGCTTCATTTTGAGAAGCATCTCTTCACTATTATAGCTTTTATCTTAAATTTACGATTTTGGTTTCCGTGTTGATGTGATCGCTTTAACCAAAACAACTGTTCACTCCCATGAAAGAATATGAAAAGTAATGTACTGTTTTTTTTTATATGAATAGTCCCACACATAAGGCTTTGAAGTCAAAGTGTTAAAAAGCACCATTTGAATTAGTTATCGTCTGATAGGTACTACTACAAACTGCTTCTTGATTTCAGGTTATGACTGGATAATGAAAGCTTCCCTAAGTATTCAGTCCTTAGGTTTTATTAGAGTTATGACTGGGGATGTATTCATCAACATGTAATACCTTTTTTTTTCTCCCTTTGGCTTCCAATAAAAGTTGAACTATTGCATCGGTATGTAATCTTATTGGAAATTTCTTAAAGTACAAGTTCTAGTTCTGTTTTAATTAGTATTTAACTAGACCTCTTATGTTGCACCTTTCTGTGATATTATGCCCACGCTTTTTAAAAATATAATTTAAAAGCTTATTTAAAAACAAAGCCTCAGATGTGCCAGATGAACGCTGCACCTGAAGTCATTTCCTTAAACATACTCTGTTATTGTCAAATGGACATTAGTTCTAAAAAAAACATGCTTGGCCAGTTTGATGTGTCAGGTCATTAAGAGTTGCTTGGGGAATAATCAGAAAAAAAGTGGAAGGATTTAATAAATTATGGTGCGAGAGAAAAGCTGGTTTGTGGTATAATATGTCATTGTTCAGATGGTGAAACGCGTTCAGGCATCTGCGTGACCCTATTGGCACCAGAGGGAGTCCAGGGGCTTGAAAAGGCAGAAAATTGTGACCTCTTTAAAATACACAGACCACAATAAACAGTTGCAACAATTTAACATTTGTGCTGAATTTTCATGTTGAGCTTTTAGTGAAGATTAGCCCTTAAAAAGGTATTAGTGTACACCTGCAGCAGAATTATAAGACAGCATATAAGTAAGATAGCATTACAAATTAGAAGAGCAGTACCAAACTAGTCTGCCTTTGCTCAAGGTAAAGAGGTAATGCTGAAAGTATTTGTCATTATGATCATTTTCCGGCTGGATGAACCTTGGACAAGTGTTACAATTGAACGCATGATTAAATACGTTTTGTAGCAATTAAATGAGTACATGGGGTTTGAATTCCCTCATTTTGTTTTTGCATGGGTTGTGTAAATGATTTTTGATCTAATTTTACATTAACTCTCTGTTGCTCACATGGTTAGTCTTCATGCTTTCAAGACCAGTGTTTGGAATCTACTTTTTAATTCTAAAGAGTGCTCTCTGTGGTTTGAAAATGTTGCTTTAATTTCTCCCTTTTCTGGCTTTTTTCCCCATTTATAAATAGATTTGTCTTGCTTGCCTGTCTGCATTGTAGTGCTATATGCATATCATTAGTGACTCAGACCACAGTGTAGGTAGGCAATAGAGTATCTTGAGATGGTGTTTCAGGGAGCTTGTTTGTGTCCAAGTACTGTATTAAAACAAATAAGACAATAAAATGAAGGTTAAAGGGCTCTCTACTTTTGGATCTGACGATATTGAATAATTTCTCAATTTACAAGAAGCTTTTTGGAGGGCAACATTGGGAAAAGAGAGTAGATATTAAAATTGCATTAAAGCTGCTTTTGATTGGGGGGGATTAGTTAATTGAAACTTCAAATGGAACATCTCAAATATCTATATAGGAAGACATGCCTGAAAATAAACGGGAGGTAGATTCAGGACAGAAGACAAAAATATTAGTGTTTGGATCCAAATGAGATTAACATGAGATCGTATTAAGTGCCAAATAAAAATGTGGCGTTAAACTGTGTATATTTATGTTAAACTCTTCTGGAATTATAAAAATACATATGCATGTGAGTAGCATGGTTTCACAGTGGTGAGCATTACTGCCTTGTAGCTCTGGGTTCAGTTTCTGCAGTGCTATCTGTGTGGGTTTTGCATGCTTTTTCCGGGTCTGCATGGATTTTCTCCGGGTGATCTGGTTTTGTCCCATAGACCGAAAAATATGCTGGTAGTTTTTTTTTTTTGGGGGGGGGGACTTCTGTCAAATTTTGCCCTGGTGTGAGTACGTGCATGTTTGTGTCTTGAATGTGTCCTGCGATGGTCTGGGTCCTGTCCAGGGTGTATCCTGCCTTGCACGGTATGCTTCCCGGGATAGGCTCCGGGCCACTGTGACTCTGAAATGGATAAGCAGTTATTGAAAGTGATGTGATAATGATATGTGCATGTTGATCTCAGATGTGGAGCATGGGCTGAATCCTGTACAGCTCTTGGAACAAGGTATTTGACTCTGGAAGTAAGTTTTTCTTTTTCACACTGGACGATATTTATTGTGGTTAGATATTAGTGAACGGACAAAATTGAGGTTCATCACATGGATTGTTCATATATTTTGAAACGCTTGGTGGGGTAGGTCACCATTTAAGGCTAGGATCCTGACTCATCATGATCTAATCTCTTGCATATGATAAGGGGGATTTGCACATCTACTGCCTGGGTTTTGATAGAAGATATTGACATTGGAAACAAACCATTACAGAAGACCCTTAAAAGTTTTCTAACTACAATATATTAACCTTTTATGAATGTCTCAATCTCTCCAAGATGTTCTACAGGCTCATCATGTTATGATTTATCAATCGCCCTTTCTACTTTCTTTATATAGAAAATAATTCCACTGTTATTTTAGTAATGGAATTCAGACAGTTACTGGAGGATTTATAATTTAATATTTGTTCAGTGTTGGTAGGGAATGAATTTTCCTGTGCTGTCAAATAGGAATTACTTTTTGGTTAAATTAAGTTATTTTTCATAAAATAATTACAGCTGATGGTCAAACATGGTTTACTTAGATCTGAATAGTGTTCAGATGTCTGAAATGGCTTGCCTGCACTTGAATAAAATCTGAATTTGTGATAACTTAATATTGAAGAACTGTGCACTTTAGGTGCACTACAAAAGTATTTTTTGTAAGTAGTTTTCTCACCCTGGTGTTACTTTTAAGTTGCTGGATTTAGGTTTTCAAAATTGTTTTACTAAAACACTTGTTTTCTTTTTAAGGTCAACAATAAAGTATTTATTAACACCTCAAAACTTTGCATTTCATTATTTCAGTAGATGTTTGTATTGTAAGTTTGATGTTTTCTTTGTTGCCAGTTAAGCAACAAATTGAGTTTGATGGTTTAAATGACCTTCTGATTTTTCTTAACATGTTTTTCCTTTGCAGTTATGATTTTTAATTTAGAATATTTTCTGTGGAGGCTGTGTACAGTAAGTACTCATGTAACTGAAAAGAGTGATTTTGTGTCAAGACTAAACAGTAGGAGAGGTGTGCTGATAACGTAGGTTTGTTGATTGAAACAATTAAAGATGCAGAGTAACAGTCATAGGAAACTAGTAGTCACAATTAAGCATGTTATGCATATATTAAGGCAGTTTACAAAGGTGTTTTGTTAACATTGACAGAAATGTAAAAAATATTTTTTCCTTTAGAATGCGTCACTGAAATTGCACATCTTTTGCCTCACTGTGGTTTTAGTATTGTAACAATTTGTAATTCTGGAGAAAACCCCTGGCAGTGACAGGCACTGTTCTTTGTCATTTGAATGCAGAATGGTGTTCACACTTTATTTTGAATTTGTTTGGAAGCAAATTGGGGGAAAAAAAACCTCAGGAACCCAATTAGTAGTGCACCCATTTGTACAATAGTTTTGTAGACCTCGCCAAC